GGGGACGCGGGCTCGCGGGCGGGCCGGGGCGGCGGCTGCGGGCCCGGGAAGCTGCGGGGGCCCCCCGGGCGCGGCCACACGTCCGCCTCGCCGTTGTGCAGGAGCACGAAGCGGCGCTGCGACAGCAGCGGCAGCATCTTCTGGCTGTGCGAGCTCTTCCGGAAGGTCTCGAGCGCCAGGTCTGCGGGGCGTGGGGGCGGGGTAAGTGGGACTCGGCGGGGACGGAGGAGCAGGAGGAGACACAGGCCGCAAGCGGCGGGGAAGGCTGGGGCGTGGGCGGGGCTGCCACACGGGCCCTGGGGATCAGGAGAGCCAGACTGGTGGGGTCTGAACGTGGAAGAGGGCGGGGGGGCGCCGTGGCTGGGCAGGCAGTGGGGGCCTGTGGGAGGGTGTGGTGGCGGCGACCGGCCAGGGGCTCACCCAGGGTCTCCACGACCACGCCTGGGATCACCTCCTTCAGGACTTCGCAGTTGGTGTGCAGGGCGGGGTTGGAGTTCATCTCCAGCAGCCACACCTGGGCGGGAGGGACACTGTCAGCATCTCTCCCCACCCACCCAGAGCCCACTTGGCGGCAGGAGGCAGAGGCCAGATCCCGGTCCAGCCAGGTGACTCTGGGAAGATCGCTTCTTTTCTATGGCCCTCGCTACCCCCGTTTGCCCACTGAGGCTCTCAGACTGAGGGTCTGGCGTGGGGGCTGCCCTGAGGTGGGGGTGCAGATCTGTCCCACTGTGGTGGGAGCTCAGCCTCATGGACACGCCCACCCCCAGGGCTGGGCGGGGGCAGGGTGGGGCCTGACGGGGGAGTCCACCCCACGGGCCTGCCTGTGTGGTTAGGGTGTGCAGGTGGCCCCTGCCTCCTTGCACCTGCCTACCAGACCCAACCCGCCCGAGACAGCACCTTGAAGTTGTCATCAATCAGGAAGTCACAGCCAATGAGGTCGAAGTAACCCAGCTTGCACTCGAGCTTGGATTTGACCGCCAGGAAGCACTGGGCCATGATCTGCTGCATCCGCTTCTGTGAGTGAGGCAGGGAGGTCTTCCTGATTATCCTGCCCAGGCCTGGACAGCCACAGTAAGCCCTCACCTGCCCTCCACCTGCACCCCTGCTTGCACAGCCACACCTGCCCACACTTCTGCGCTCTCAGTCAGGCTCACAGCCAGAAACTCGCCCTGCACACTCACGGTTCACTCTCAGTAGGAGAAACACAACAAATGGACATGCGAAATCTTGACTCTTGGTAAGAACCATGAGCCTTGTTGTATTTTAACTTGCTCTAGTTAAGTTTCATCCTTTGCTTCCCAGCTCAGTGATGGTCTTGAGAAGTAACAGCCTGCATCCCCAGTACCGGAGACAGCAGAACAGACCACATGTACAAAGAATTGTCTGGTCCCTTGGAAGACCTCACTTGAAAGCACTAAAGGAAAGTATGAAGATGATGTCTCACCAAACAGAGAATGTCAGTGAAGAGACAGAGATTACAAAGGGGAACAAAATAGAATTTCTGGAGTTGAAAAGTATAACGGGCTGTGCGTGGTGGCTCATGCCTGTAATCCCAGCACTTTGGGAGGCTAAGGCAGGAGGATTGCTTGAGGCCAGGAGTTCAAGACCAGCCTGGGCAACATAGTGAGACTTCATCTCTATAAAATATAAAAAAGAAAAATTAGCCAGGCATGGTGGTGTGCACCTATAGTCCCAGCTCCTAGGGAGGCTGAGGCAGGAGGATCACTTGAGCCCAGGAGTTCAGGGCTGCAGTGAGCTACAATCACACCACTGAACTCCAGCCTGGGTGACAGAGTGACAACCTGTCTCAAAAAAAAAGAAAAAATCCAACTTAAGTGCCGTCAATTGATGAGTGGATAAAGAAAATGTGGTACATTTATACACACACACACCGTGGAGTACTACTTAGTCATAAAAAGGAATGAAATAATGTCTTTTGCATCAACTTGGATAGAACTAGGGACCATTATCCTACGTGAAGCATCTCAGGAATGAAAAACAAACACTGCATGTTCTCATAACTGGGAGCTAAACAAAGGATGTACAAGGTCACAAAGAGGTATGGTGGACACTGTAAACTAAGAAGGGGGAAGTAGGGAGGGGCTGAGGGATAAAAATCTACCTCTCGGGTACCATGTGCACTATTCTGGTGGCAGGGACACTGAACGCCCTGATTTCAGCATTATACAATTCATCCATGGAACAAAAACAAGCAAAAAGTGTAACTGAAATAAACATTCACTAGAGGAGTTCCACAGCATATTTGAGCTGTTTGAAGATAGGTCAATTGATATTATCTAGTCTGAGGAACATAAAGAAAAATGAACAAAGAAAAATAAAGAGATCTGTGGGTGGGACACCATTGAGGGGACCAACATATGTACAGCGGGAGCCCCAGAAGAAGAGAATGAGCAGAAAGAATATTCGAAGAAATGATTGCAGAAAACTTCCCAATTTGATGAAAAACATTAATGTACACATTCAAGAAGCTCAGTTAACTCAAAGTAGGACAAACTCCGAGATCTGCCACATCATACGCAAACTTTCAGAAGACAAAGAGAAAGAGAGAATGTTCAAATCAGCAAGAGAGAAGCAACTCGTCAGGTACAAGGGATCCTCGTCCGAGGTGGGCGGATCGTTTGAGCTCAGGAGTTCGAGACCAGCCTGAGCAAGAGCGAGACCCCATCTCTACTGAAATTAGAAAGAAATTAGCCAGACAACTAAAAATACACAGAAAAAGTTAGCCGGGCATGATGGCACATGCCTGTAGTCCCAGCTACTCGGGAGGCTGAGGCAGGAGGATCGCTGGAGCCCAGGAGTTTGAGGTTGCTGTGAGCTAGGATGA